ATTATTATGCGTGGTACCTATATGTTATAAGTATAACTGAACTAAACGATGCAGGAAAATCATTGTTCATTTTTAGGCTGTTAAATATTATACTATTAACTGTACCATGGTATATGTTAAGCACTTTATTCATTATAATACATATAACATAATGTTTGATTGTAACTACTTAGAACAGTTAATAAACAATCTCGGTTCGATTATGCTACAATCACCGAGTGGATGGATATACAATGTGATCCGATGATACAAATACACCGTACATAAATATGTTATTAAAATTTGACGAACAAGCATATTATGTTTATCATGCAGACCGTGTATCGAAACTTTAAATTGTATCTGTATTGTAGTACATTTTGTATATTATAAAAAGTTAAGTGTGTAGTAAATATTTTTCTATTTTTTGAAATATTATTAAAAAATACAACTCGGCAGTCACTAAACATTTCATCAGTTAATATTTACTTAACGTTTTCAATGAATAAATTAAGAAGTATTAATATATATATATATATTTATAAAGTAATTAAAAAAAAAGTTTAAAATATATTATTTATTGGAATCATAAAAACGGGTCACTTAAATTTATAAATATTAGTAAAATTGGTTTATACTTAATAGGAAAAATTCCTTTTCAAAAGGGTAACCCGTTTTCATCCGTTAACGTAACTGGTTACCAGCCTACACATGTTTGTTTAAAATATGTAGTGTGTAGTACGAATAATTGGAAATGTTATGCTCCGTCGCATGTTACGATATGAATATTACACACAAAGCGACGAGCAAGGGAGTTTTTAGCGGTTAGAGGGTTTTTGTAATGTCAGACTAATCCGATTCTTGATTCTTGATTTAATGAAACGCTATACTATAATAATAATAATTATGATACACAAGACTTTTTATGTAGGTGGCGTACTTACCACTCGAAACATTATTGTAAAATCAATACATTCTTTTGTCTCGGCCGTATAAGAATCTACAATTATGACCTAATCAAATCTGCAGATTTCTAATTTAAATCTTATACGATTAATTTCACGATGGGATGTTTTTTCAATACGTAATATCGGGAGACTGGACAGAATACAATTATAAAATATTATTATCCTGCTCCTTCGCCTAAGGAAATCCATTAGCATACACATTTATGATAATATTTGATCTTAATCCTTTAAGATCTACCACAAGTAGGATGAATAAATGATTCTGGATAATATCCGGTCGAAAAAATAATAAATCGGTTATTACTGCCAAACACGTGATGAACTAAACGTTTAACCTAAACTAAACGCGTAGCCGAAAATAAAATAAATGGCGTTTCCGGGGGTAAGGGGTGGTTTTTGCACCCGAACCCCTGCTGTGTTTAAACAACACTGAAGCACATGTCTAAATGATTCTACATATTTCGGTTTTTAATAGTCTTTTGAAGAGATGCGCGGACGTGCTTAGCAACAGTTTTTACCGAGACATCTGTGTCGGATTTCTTAGTTCATTAGTTTCAATGGGATGAATTAGGAGAGGATGTTTGCGGCGTTTGCTAAACATCCAAATTTTAACAGTCACCGCGTGTTCTTAAAGCGAGTCGATAATATTGTATGAAAGGATATTTTGGAAATCATTTCGACTAATTGCGCGTTAATTTTTTCACTTGTCCTGTTTTTAAATTTTTCTCTCTCTCTCTTTCTCTTTTTCTATCTTTAACTGTATCTCCCCGGACACGCTGTGCATTATATTGACAGAAAATATCGTTAGGTTCGGAGTTAATCAATATAGCATAATATTTTTGTCGAGCTTTTATTAGTACTTAGTACTCATTGTAAGGTAGATATATATATATATAGAGTATAACCTCAACGTTCATTAATTGCATTAACATATTTTATATCATATCCTTTCGTGCAGCTTGAGTTAATAGGGTTTTCGAATCGAATCGAATTAAAGTCACACAGTGAAAATTTAAGTAAAAAAAAAAAATGTTAATTACCGTCGGTAGGTATCCGTGTGTTGAAATTAATTGTTAACTCTGGTCTCACTTGGCACTTTTTCCGTGTACATATATCTATACATATAGTGTCATAAATATATTATTATGAAATTCGTCACGCACGTATAACACTGATGTATACATTTTTATATCATTTGTTTGTTGAACGCAAATCGATCGCAGAGCCATGGAACATCACTTCAATATCGAATAACATATTTATTTTAATTAAATAATCATATATATATATATATATATATATATATATATATATGTATGCGTGTATATTATGTGTACACATTTTTTGACGGGGTTTAAAGATCGCTCAGCTAAATGATAATAAACCAAGGTCCATGTCGAACAATACATAAAATTCAACTGCTTTTTAACAGCAATAATAAAGATAATGTTCTCGGTAAACGGTAATCGTAGAAAAAAATATAAAAAATCCATTGCATCCGTTATATGAACACAAAATTAATAATATTATAAAAATAAAGTAGTATCTTTAAATGTTGCCTTTGATGATAAAAAAAGTAAATTAATTTTAGCTTACCCGTGTACTGTAAATATCTATATAGTATAAAATAAAATATCAATGACAACTAAATATTCTTGTTAAATATTTCAATGTACATTTGGAATAAATCAACCGTTGATAAGCCGTTGGAAAAACGACTAGGTTCTATTTAATGATACAATTATACTTACTATGAATAGTTTGTTTTATTTTTAAATTTAATTTTTGTGAATACTATCTATCGAAATAAAATTTAATGGAAAGGTGATAAACAAATATTATCACTTTTACTTTCATTAAAATATGGTACTTAATATTTTATACTATTTGGTATGGATATTATTATTTATTTTTTTTAAAATATTATTTTGTATTATAAGTATATTACACGCATGATAACTATCTCCGCAAATGTTTTTGACATTTTCAGACTTTTTTGTCACATCGTTTTAAATGTTAAAATTATTTTAAATATATATTTATGTTGTATTAAAGTATCTTATTGAAATCATCAATTTTATTAACTATAAAAATATAAAATTTCTTTCAATGTACAGTTGTTTTGAGTAATAATTACAATGTACCGGAAATGATTCAACGAAAATGTACATTACGACCAAATTGAAAATCTATTAATCAGCTATGTCCCGAATACCATTAATTATGATCATCTACAGAGTAAAAACAGACCTTAATTATGAAATATGTAGATTATTTACAAAGAACAAATCAATTGCTAATAAACGCACGTGCAGGACAAAATATTATTATGAACTGATTACCCAATAAAATATAGAGGATGAAAATACATATCTGAAATTACAGTAGAATGTATTTTCGCTCCGTATAAAGCGTTCAAATTAATCCAAAACAAATACACAAAAGTAATTAACTTATACAAGTTAGTTTTTAAAGTTAACTAAAAAAAAAAAAATTACTATACACAATTTAAATAAATTACGTTCTGTAAATACAGTCGGAATTTGCAAAATTATATATAGCAAAACACGCTTTGAATTATATTATTATGTAAATTTATATCATAAAGTTCCATTTTGCAGATTCGTAGAACTCTTATTTAAAAAATTAAACGACTTTAAAGAGCTTGGGATGTAATATTCCTTACAACTTTACACATTAATTAGCCGACAAGCCAATTTCAAATATTTTGCGATTGAAACTATCCTATCTTTGTTTAATTAATTTAAATTTATGATATTCTATTTGGTATGTAAGTTTGTATAACAAACGCGTGCGTTTGTGCATTACTATTGTTGTAAATATGAACACAAAAAATGAGTTGTGATATTATTACTCTGATGAAATCAATTAATATCATACATATACTACGTTTATATGCGTATGTTTTATGATTAGAAATAGGACATAATACTAATATACATGTATACTGTATAATTATTGTATACAGAAGGGTGTAAACGAATAAATCGATTTTTCAACCACGTTTGTTTATATTTATAAACGCTGCGTTGTAATTGTCACGATTGAAACGAACTCGGAATAACGGTGAACAGAGAGCGTCTCTTCGCGATGTACAACGAATAGTTTTGGTTTTTACGGAAACCGGAATATCATTGTGACTGTATAAAAAACGGTACGACACCGTGTATTATGATTTTTATTATTGTTATTCCAAACGCGTGCGTACATACGGTAAAAACATTTTTGTGATCGCTGTACAGTAATATTCACTTGTACGATCGTTTCCACATAATATTATAATGGGCCCGGAGATTAACCTGCACTCGACGTTCGTGGTCGCCATAGTCCCCCCGCGACATGTGGAAACATTATGTTCGACCAGTGTTTCCCAACCGGGAGAATTCCTAACCCTAGCTAGGACGTTTGGCAGGTATTACTATGTGTGGTATAGCGATTACGAAATGATGACATTTGCATTTTTTTATTGAAACGTAGAATGTACAAATTTAAGAATCCGTAAGATTAGGTACGATAAGCACGTTTGACTAGGAGGGGCATGGAATCAAGATTGAAAAAGTAATCGTCCCATTATTTCGGTTGTGTCACGTTACAGTTAGAGTTTGAACATGGGATGCAACGTTAAGTGGTGTTTATTAGATTTAATCGAATTCGGCTAAAAATTAAAATCGATTTGGGGTAGAGGTTTATGGAAAGCTTATTAGGGGGAGGGAATAAGAAAGGTTGAGAAACACTGCCATTAGACCTTAAGACCCGAGTACGGGGCGGCCACATTTGGTCGTCCGGGACCCTCGCAGGTACCGGTTTTCTCGGATAGACGCTGTCGAGCGGAAGGGTGAGAGGGGCTGGGAAAAAACCCCGATGGTAATCAGTTGTTGCACAGAACATCATCAGTTCCCCGCTGCGGTGGTGTGCTCGTGCGGCGGGTGGGAGTGTGCAGCAGCAGCAGCAGCAGCATAGTAGGTAGCGGCGTTGAAACGTCAGTGGCGACCAAGTGACGTGCGTGCGGAGGAGTAGGAGGTGGACAGGACGGAAGGGGTCTGCTGCTGCTGCGTGTGCATACACCTACCGGCGATGATAAGCCTCCGGCACAACACATGTACGACTCGCGCACGTCGTTCAGTCCGCGCACGCACCAACAACATACGCACTATATGTATATTTAAAACGCATTTCTTCTTTATTTTATTTTTTTCCCCCGTCGCGTCATTACAATAATCCCGAAAAGTGTCGCTCGCCCGACCCGGTGCAGTAACATCCGCTCAGCTCGCAGTCCTCCTCGAGCTCCGTCCGTAACGCGTTCTTCGCCGTGTTTACACTTCATCGTACACATATCGTAGTTAAAAAACAAAAGAAGTACACACGTGTTCATTATATTTCTCTCGTCGTGATATTTTCCAGTGGATTCGCGAAATCCGAGTTCGTGCGCCACAGTGACCGGTTATACCTCTGCTCTGCCGACGGAGCCCGTTTCCGACTATATAGTCCGAACGAAATCCGCACGATGATGATCTGTCACCGGTTCTTCCTGTTGACTGTCGCGTTTTTGGCTTTTTACAGCATCGCCACCGTTGCCACTGCCACTTCAGGCCGAAACATTTGCGACATTTGCGCTTGTTCACCTGACAACGTAGCGCCGACGACGGTTAACTGTTTGTGTTCGAATGCCTCCAGGACAAAGGTAATAAGATCCACGATGTAACATATTTCGTATTATGATGTACGGTTTACGGTAGTGTCGAAGTTGTATCAATGTTGAAAAAAGAATAAATGAAAAATCTCCAACTCGGATACCCCCATATATGTTTGCAAATATCTATAAACATACGACTAATAAGGGCATCCAAGAGTTTATCAGGAGCGACGTATACAATGTTTCAATGTGGGTTGATTTTGATTATTTTTTAGCTAATTTTATGTTTTTATTTCAATCGTATGAAATAGTGGCCAGAGAACCTAATCTTTTTTTAATCGACGTGAAATGTAATTGTTTTTTTCCGCGACGTTTATGAAAGTCTAGAGACCGTCTTACGTGATATCCATTCCTTATAGATCCGTTACTGTAGCAGGTTGACACAAGTTTTGGAGTCCTCAACATCGCGGTCGTAAAATAATATTGTCGTTGCATTGAGAAGGATTAGACACCTGTAGTACGCGTCATCGATTTTGGACCCCGTTCGCATTCGTCATCGGAGGGTGGCTTCCGAGAACCGGTTTTACCGAAGATGCAACGTACGTAATGTTGTGTTTATCGTACGACGTGTCACTTTGTTTCCACTCTCCGCGGTTCAGCCGTTAAAACCTCGACTACGACGTTCATTTATTTATTTTTTTTCCAAACGTTTTCCTTGACGCACCGAGCGCGCTGGCACACCCTTCACAAGAATTTTTGTCGGGATTCCAAACCAGGACGAATCGGACTGTCGTGTATGTATATAATACGGAATCGGTATACGACTTGTTGATCTGTTCCGCGATGGTTCACCACAAGTTGCTCTTAACAAGGGCCGTCGTGGTTCCGACGCTGTAACCATAATATCATGATATCATGAGTTTCAAACTTGTGTTATGGTAATATTTGTCTGTAGTTGTCGCATCAATAGTTTATAGAGGTACCCATCGACAGTCGTCGTGCGTTTTATCATCTAGGATATTTTTATTTTTATTTTCGTATGCATTTATGAAACGGATAATTGTTTATAACTAATTAAATACATAAACAATGCATGTCATATTATTGTTGCGAACTTATTTTCGTTCAGTTTGTACACGTTTTATTATACTATTGCGCTCTACTCGATGCCTGAGTCACGATGGTGTTTTACTCGGTAAATTAAATAGGACTTATGGGAGTTTTCAAGTTTTTAGTCGGAGATTTCTCTCTTGCAATCTTTCTTTCTCCGTCTTCGGGGATATATAATAGCACGTAAAATTACCAGCCCCACGACCATTACGATGTATAACACTTTCGTAATTTAATTTCAAAAATCACCTGTCCATTAATTATGCAAAGTTTTCCTCCATTAGCATTATCATTAATATTTCTCAGTAGTGACATATTTTTTTTATTATTTACGGCAGTTTTCAATTAACATTGAATTATATTCATTGTATTCGTATAATATATGCATTAAATATCTACTCATATTGAAAGAAATTAATTCTACCTATGTTTCAATGGGAAATTTATGACGTGAATAAAATGTATAAAAAAAAATCTCTTAAAACAAAATCAAAATATAAAATTCTATATATATATATATATATATATATATATATATATAATCAATTTTATTCGTTTTCACGATTTTATTGAAACATGTGCCTTATGTCATTTCTGCAAATGCGTCGTTAAAACGTGCACGATAATCATGATTCATATAATTTGTTTAATATCGATACAATTTTATGTGCTATTCTATACAGATATTTTACATTCCCTGAGTATAATTTTTCATTATTACATCATATAGTTATGTAAGAAAACTCGTGTGTTTATTTTCTTCAAATTATGAGAGATCGATCGATTTTAATGTTATTGTTGTTCCGTTAATAAGTTTTGGTGAATCATTTAGAATACCATAATATTGCTCAAGATATTTTTTAAGTGGCTAATGAACAGTTGATCAAATTCTTAATAAATAAAATTAGAGGAACATTGTGCAAATTACATTAAATGTAAATATAAATAAATATAAATTTTATATTATACATAATTGAAAACATCCGAATACTGAAGGAAAATAAATATTGGGCATACAAATATTTATGTTAAAAGTCTAATCGTTAGACACTGAACTTACTGCAAAAATAAATGCTCTAGATAATAATTTTTCAGTGGTAATTGTTAGTGATTTTTTTTTTTTTTTTTTATTCATAAGTATACACACAATTACTTGAATAAGAAGCCACCCATTAGTAATACTTAGCTTGGTATATATTTACAATTGACGGGACATTTTTAATTTAAATGCTTATGGCACCATTTTCTTTTAAGTCTGCGTTGTGGGTTTTAAAGAAGTGTAAAGGTATGTAATTATTTTATTAGTGGGTTGGAGTGATTTTCTAGTTTGGCAAAAAACCGTAAGTAAAATAATTCCGCTTCAGTTGTAACAGTTTTAATATTTAAATCTTGGTGAAGGGTTAAAATAGAGATATAGAAAGGAGCATTAGTGATATTTTTTAGAGTAATATTTCGAAAGACTTGAATTTTATTCAAATTTGATTTTTTTGCCGATCCCCAAAGTTGTAACCAATATGTCCATAAAGGCTTTAGAAGAGATTTGTAAATTAGTAATTTAATTTTCAAACAAATAAATTTATTTTTAAATAATAACGTTTTTAATGACCTAGACTGAGCGTTAAGGATTAATTTTTTAGCTCTAATATTTTTGTTTCATGTTAATTTTTAGTCAAGAATTAAACCTAAATATATAACAGCATCGAGGGGTGGTTATATTATTGATCGAAACATTTGGATAGTGACCATATCTAAGAGTAAAAGTTGTATGGCCATTTTTCATACCATTCAGATTGTAGATTTAAATGAGACTGTAAATTAGTAGAGGCTATATTTGGATCGTTATGAACTGAAAATATTACTTTATCATTTGCATAGTCGGCAATTGTGTTGTTTGAAGTTGTGGGCTGATCAGAAGTATATATATTAAAGAGTATGAGTGAGAGGATACTACCTTGAGGTACACCGGCGGTAATTGGAGCTATAATTGACGTTGATGATCCGCAGCGTATTTGAAAATAGCGATTTGTAAGGTAAGATTTAATTAAAAGAAAAAGCAGTGAGGGTAAAAATTTCCGTAATTTAAACAGTATGCCCTTGTGGCATACTTGATCAAAGGCCTGAGATATGGCTGTGTTTAGCTCTGAAGCCGAACTGTGAAGCCGGAAGTATATTTGTTGCGAATATATGTGGTGATAAACGTTTAAGAATAAGCCTTTCATAGATTTTTGAAAGGTTGGGTAAGAGGCTAATAGGTCTATATGAGGTTGGGATATCCGGTTGTTTTTCTGATTTAACAAACATATAACTATTTGTGAAAATGTATTAGAAATTTATATAATTGGCGTATATCAGATTTAATTTTAGTTTTTAACTAAGATAGAAACACGTATTCTAATCACTGGTTCAAAGGTCACCGCGAGTATCAGTGCCTTGGAAGTAAGATTAATACGTATTTTATACTATACATTGTACCTCTTAGCTAGCATTTACAGTTATAATATAAAAAATTGGGTTCCCCCTGTGGTACGTGGGTTTAACGAATTGATCTGACAACGCAGGGTTTAAGTGTTAAAAAACCACGTCAAATGGTAGAAGATTCGAAAGCTTCGACACGGATAAGACACAAAAATTCGAATATAACACGGGACTCTTAAAAGTGTGGGTACAGTACCACTGTCCGCGCGTGACATAGTTGATGATGAAAATAATTAAATTACACTGCTGTCCAAATACCATGTTTATTGAATAAAATTACTTTTTTGAAAGTGCATAAAAAAAGCAAAAACAAAAATAATTGTTTTCTGATGCTCCATATATCTCTTTCCTGGGTTTTTTTTTCAGTTTTACATCTTAATTATCTTTACCTAGAAATCAATTGAACAATTTATTACGATAATGTAAATATACTGACATTTAGAATAATAATTAACTCTTACTATTTGAGCGCTTGAAGTCAGTCAGACAACATTTACTAGTTATGAATATAGGAAATTAAGTTCATTGAAATATTTATAATAAATAAATATTTCATAATATGTATTATCTTCATAATCAAGTGCTATAAATTCTTCATGCATTATATTTTTGAACTCCAGGGTTTGTATTCGTATCGATAAATCATAAACTGTAATGAAAACAAATTAGCCTTTATTGTGTGTTTTAATTAATTTTTTAAAATACAATATAGATGATTTAATCTTAATTTCATTCAAAACCACATCACTGTACATACTTCTAAAATAATAAACGTGCTTTTTTATCAACATCTATTTTTAGAACTTACTAAATTACTTTATTTCAGTTTCGAACTATAATGAGAAGGGTTCGGGATAGGATTATTTGAACGGCTTTAATTTATGTTGACATTTATGTTTTCAGTACATTTTCTAGAAATAAAACACGCTGAATTCGACCCTATCCAAATACATTTTACTAATTTATTGTGAAGCTGGACATAAATAGTTGATATATATAAATTAATTGAAACAATGTTGGATACGTATTAATTTCTTCGTATATAAAACATTTGTGTCCGTTTAATTATATAACTAAATTATTTGAATTTTAATTAAATAATAAATAAAGATGAAATGTAATCATGCGAACCATGATAGTTGAAATTAAATTTTAGATCTATTCAAACGTATTTAATTTCAATAAATATTTATTTTAATAAATCAAATATTGTATTACGTCATCCAATAATGTATTATATTTTAAAAATTGGTTTGAAAAATAAAATAAATCATTAATATTGATCGAAATGGGTTATATTTTAATATAAAATATTTGATATACATATACTTCTGTGTTTATTGATAGAGAAAAATATTCTAACAACTGTTTTTATTATTATCACTCGTGAACATGTCCGATCCGAGCACGTTATAGTTCTAACTAAAATTTTCTTATGTATATGGCAATATATAATTTGTTTA